ACCTAATAACCACCCCCCAAAGATGAGAAGCAACAGGGGCTCCCCGCACCCCTTCCCCACTCCCAGCCTGCAAACTGCACGCGCGCGCACGAGCGCGCGCGCACACGCATACCCCACCACCATCCCAGGGTGATGTATACCGCAATTCTTCTCCTATTCTCCGTAGAGGAGGCGCCGGCTGTTCAGGCTACATTCTTCCCCATCCTTGGTTCCCACAAGTTCATAGGGTTGAACAGGGGCTCCCCGCACCCCTTCCCCACTCCCAGCCTGCAAACTGCACGCGCGCGCACGAGCGCGCGCGCACACGCATACCCCACCACCATCCCAGGGTGATGTATACCGCAATTCTTCTCCTATTCTCCGTAGAGGAGGCGCCGGCTGTTCAGGCTACATTCTTCCCCATCCTTGGTTCCCACAAGTTCATAGGGTTGAGGGTGAGAAGAGGAGATTGAGTCTTGAAACCCCAGAAAGATTCTTACTCTCAGTTGAGTGGTAAAGGGTTAAGGCAGGAATCAGACTTCAGAGGCCAGACCCAACTGAACCGAGATGGAATACGGTGAAAGGGAAAGCATTGGAGCTATGTGAGAAAGGACTAACAGAGGGCAGACAGGAGGACATTGGAACCAGGCTTCATGGAACCATCGTCCTTCCCTAGAAAAACAGCCCCAGAGAAGCAAAGAAGTGTGTACATTGCCCTAGGCTGGAGATTAGAAAACCTGAGTTCTAATTCTTAATCCTGGCTCTTCCATTAACAACTTGTGTGACCTTGGGCAAGTGCCTTACCCTCTATGGGCCTTAGTTTCCTCATTTGTGCAGTGAGGAAGTTGACAACTTAAGGCTCTGGCCTTTCTTATGTGGGTGTAGGAGGCAAAGTCACAGACCACCGGCCAGGCTGAGTGGCTGCACGTAGCCTACACTTTAATGCCATCCACCCACACTGCTTTTCCCTGCCACCCCTAGGACAGGCAGAAAGGAAACTGACATACATTCATTCCTGGATGCATCCATTCAATAAACAGGTATTGGGTACTTACTCTGTGCCCCATTCAGAAATGAAACACACAATATCCTACTCTCAAGGAGCACAGTCTAATGGGGTAGGGAGACATGGAAACCAAAAGCCTATGCAAGATCAATCTGTGTGTGCACAGTCACTGTGGAATCCTCTGTGTCCTGTGCTACATTGAAGTTTTTTGGCATATAATAACTGTTTCCTCCATTTACCCTTAAGGAACTGAGGCACAGGGAGGGTGGGTGACTTACTCAAGGTCACCTACTAGTACAGAGCTAGTCCTAAAATCCAAATCTTTCCCATTCAAACGTTTATGGGGGATATTTAGGGGGTAGGAAGTTAGCTTGAGGCAAAGCCTGGATATCTGATCTTTGGGGATGGGATCAAGTACACTGATCTGCTGGGATGGTCTTGTCCCTCATCTGAGGCAGAAGGGCCACTACCTCCATGCCCTACTCCTGGTCCTGCCTTGGTTTTCTTACTGTTCCCTTACACAGCGAGGTGAAGGTGACTCTGGCCACCTATCGCTTCAGAACTATCCAGCCTGTGTAATCCTCCCCAGGTCAGTGAGTCTATCCTCCCTGCCCAAATAGAGGAAAGATATACTCCTAAAGAGGCAGAGTTCTCTTTTACTCCCATGGCAGAGGAAGACTCTCACTTGGTGGCTCATTTCAGTGTCTCCCACTCATGCTTTTTGGGAAGTCCTGCCTCACAGCTAATTCCAACCCCTCTGCTTCTAGTTTTAGCCCCTTCTACCTAGTTTAAGTCTTCACTGCAGACAGAGAGCAGAGGTCCTAACCCAGACAGGATCCTCACACTCCCCATTTAGTTGTTATAATCATCCTCCTGTCCCCTCTCCCAACTGCCTTCCCTTCCTCACTGCAAGGGCTCTGGAAGAGAGATAGCCCAAGTCTTTTTAGCCAACCCTTGAGCTCTCAAGAGGTAAAAGACTACCCTCTCCCTTCCATTCATATACATTACCCTTCCTTGGAAGCCCAGGAAAAAAGAGAAATGAAAGGAGGGGGCTTGGAAGGAGCCAGCTGACCAGCTGGTTACCATGGCAACCAGGCCCCATTTCCAAGCCATGAGCCTGGCTAGGACTGGGGTACAACTAAGGGAACGAAAAATCACCAGCAGAGACAGAAGAGTAGCAAAAGAGCTCAGCCTTGGAGAAGACTGGGGCTGAAGAAGCGAAGTCAGGCCCTGATCTTGCTGTGGCCTGAGTTGTAGTCCCTAGGCTGTCTTTCCAGATGACACTGCATGGTCCTTCTCCCCATTCCTGAAGTTTCCACAGAAGAGCTTCCTGTCAAAGTGCAGGCTAGGTACTGGAAGCAGTGGGCTACTCAATGCTGACCTCATGTGGCCAGAAAAGGGGCTGCCACATCCTCATGGTTCAGAGCCAGACACAGTGGCTGGATGAGGGTAGGTCACTGCACACTCCTGAGTTCTTGTGTTCTTGCAGAAGGCTCAGGTACCCCAAGCCCTTAGGTTCATAAAGGAAAGAAAGTTTCACTGAAAAAAATTTAAGTTTCGGATTAGGGACGGGAAAACCTGGCTCTGTACTTTCTGACTGTTGACCTTAGGCAAGTCGACTCACCTCTCTAGGGCTCAGCTTCTAAACTTTAAAATAAGGACGATAGTGCCAGATTTTGAACCCAAGTAGTCTGGATCTGGAGTTTATTACTGTGCTTTTCCGCCAGCCTTTGAGGATGGGAGAGAAACATTTCAGGGGAGGAAGTTGAGAACATCTGAAATCACATTGACTCCAAGGGAAGGAGATTCCTCAATTTCCTTGGGATTTCTCTTTATGGTTTCTCACAGCCTCATGCTCAACACATCCTTCCCACTCTAGTCCTCCATGGGGATGGAATGCAGTAGGTTGTCTCCTGTCTGCGCTACCCCGTCTCTTCTCTCTTTATTCACCCCCTCCTCCCAAAGACTAGGTACTTCTTCCCAGCCCTCTTCCCTTCCCATTTCCAGTTCACATGAAAACTTCCCTGCCCCACTCACCCAACTGGACAGTTAGCCCCACCATATGCCTCCACAGAACCCTGTTTTTATTCTCACTCCTGTCTTAGCACAATCACTCTGTGTTGTAATTGTCAGGGAGCTTTTTGAAGGCTGGGACCACGAGACATTTTCTGGTGGTGGGGCGGATGGTGGTTGGTGGGTATTACTGTTACTGTGATACTTGGTTTTGCTTCCAGCAGAGAGAACAATGTCAGACATGTAGGAGAAGCTCCACACATTCTTGTCAAATGGATGAATAAATAGATGAATAAAATGAGGTTGCTCAGGGGAAGGCTGTAGGAAAGCTGGTTAGTAGCTGTCTATACTCACCCCAGCATTCTTCCCCCAAAGCCAGAGATGGAAAAGGATGATCCCTTGGGGATGATCTTCTAAACCATTGCTGGTCCATGGTCAACAGCACTTGAAATAGGGGGTAAATCATAGAGCACTGGTTTGAGGCTCATCATGTGGGGGTGGGGGGGTGGCCTATAGCCTCACTGGGCCAAAGGAAAGCAGGGACAGGGAAGGAGGAAAGATGTGTTGGTACTGGGGTTGGGGCTGGGGTGGGCACCTCAGCAGAGTGTGGCTCATCATGTCTGCCCTCCCACCACCACCAATCCTGGCCCCACCATGAGGAACTAAACTTCCCTGACATCTGGAGGTAACCAGATGCTGTAACCATTGAAGTTAGTGTTTCACCCCTGTGAGGAACGACCACTGTGTTTTTCTAGACAATGAAAAACATGACCGTCTGCTTTTTTTTAGACAACAGTCTGCCTGAGAACACCTACTTTTGAAAAGCACTTAGTCATGCCCAATTCTATGTGATCTGGGAAGTTGATACAAGAGATCCTCTATCCAAGCCCCAAAGGGAGAACCACTTCTTTAAAGACAATAGGTGTCCCATTTCCCTCCCCAAACTTTTGGGCACTGGTAGATGAGAAAGCAAGTGAAATTAAGAGAAATGGGTAGGAAATAGGAAGCAATCTTCCTCATCCCACCACCCATGTGTTCTCCTTTCAAGACCCCTAGTTTGTACAATTAATACAAAACAAACGAATGAATAAATGAATGAATAGAAACAATGAATGAAGAAATGGAGAGGAAAAAAAGAAATGGAGAAAGTGAAGGAAGGAAAGGAAGAATACATGGAATTAATGAATAGAATGAAGGGGGAAAATGAATGAATTAGTGGATAGATGGATGGATGAATGAATGCTGATTGAGTAAATTAACGCGCGAGTGAGTCAGAACTGGGTAACCCCTGACTCCCGGCCAACGCAGAGGGCGGGGAAAGGGGGATTCCGGGGGGCGGGGCCTCGGCCCGGAAGCGCCTATCGGGGGCGGGCCCAAGGGGCGGGGCGAGAGAGCGCGTCAAACTGGGCAGCCGGGCTGCCCTGAGTAGCCTCTGCGGTAGACCCCACCATCTCTCCGAACCTCGCCCTCACTTCTTGCCAACCCCTCGGGCCCCCGCAGCCTGGTAAGGAGGCTACTCCAGCCCAGGAGCTCATTCTGCAAGGCAGACCCGCAACCCGGAAAGGCGGTGCGGCAGAGCCCGAAGCCGGATCCTGCTCGGACCAGGCCCCCGCGGGCCAGTGCCGCGGGCATGTCGGAGGCGCGGAAAGGGCCGGATGACTCGGATGAGAGCCAGTATGACTCGGGCATCGAGTCTCTGCGCTCTCTGCGTTCCCTACCCGAACCCACCCCTACCCCAGCTTCTGGGCCCTCTGACAGCAGAGGCCCCCAGCCCTGGACCCATCCTCCGGGAACCGCCAAGGAGCTACGGGAGAAGGAAGACACAGATGGGGAAAGGGCTGACTCCACGTATGGCTCCTCGTCGCTCACCGAACCCCTGAACTTTTGGGGGAGCCTCGAGACCGAAAACCCATCGCCAGGCTCGCCGCTCCCTCCAGCGGGGAAGCTGAGCCCTCAGCAGCTGGAAGCACTCACTTACATCTCCGAGGACGGAGACACGTGAGTATGGGGGCTAGGCTGAGACAGCACCCCTTCTTCCCGATGCTACTAACTCTGCGCCTCCCCAGGAACTGCAACAGGCCGGACACCCCTCTATAAGGATCCCTCAAGGCACCTGCCCTGGAAGTGGGCAGTCCTTATTCTCTCTTCCAAACTTAATTCTCAGGCCACTTTTGAGCTCTGGCCAGGCCCATACCAGAGGACCTGGCATCATCTCTATGCCCTTCCTTTTGGAGGTGGGCAGAGTTGGCAAGGCCCTTACAAAGCACCTGGTACCCCAGCTAGCATCTTGGAAATCTACCAATAACCCACCACTAGGAAGAGAAAATTCCCCTGACCAGTCCAGTTTTTTTTCTTGCTGGGGTAGAGGGCATCCTTGCTCGATATCTGGGATTCCCGGGCCCTGACCCTCAGGATGCCCTGTCACAAGGAACAGGAGGTGTCAGTTACAGGTTGCCAATGGGGACTAGGAAGCTAGAGGTGAGGGTACTGCCATGTTACAGAGCTGAGGCCGACCCTGAGGAAGAGGGGGTGAGCCAGGCTGGGGCACTCTTGCCCCAGCAGACAGACAGGCTGCTGGCTGCCCCAGCTTACTTCCTCCTCTGCTGAGAAAGGGGAAGTGAGGTCTGGAGTCAGCCTTATCGACACCTTTCATCTCCTGAGCCCTCCAAGTCCCCCCTCACTATCCTGTCTGACCCGCTTACTTTACCATTTCTCCCCCAGACCGAGGTGGAAGTTAGTGGGGACTAGGCTAGGGGGCAGCTGAAGTAAGAAGCAGTCGTTTGGGAGGGGTTGGCCATTTCAGGATTTGCCCCTCAGGAAGAAGAAACAATGTTAGGAGAGAGGGTGGCTGGGATTTGGGGGTGAGAAACAGTGGAGGGGGCTGTGGTCCCAGATGAGGGATGCCGAACAAGGGAGGCAGGTGGTGTCTGCCTTGATCTGCTTTTTTGGAGATACAAGGGTCTTAATTCTGGGTGGCCTTTGATAAAGATAGTCTCAGGACCTAGTAGGAGGGAGAGGAGTGACCCCAGGCCTTTTATACTCTGTGCCCAGTTACCAGCCCTCAGGCCCAGAATCAAGACTTTGGGGACTCCATGTGGATTACCTGTGGCTGACCTTTGACCCAGGGAGTGGGGACTTTTGGCATTGCCCTCCTTTGTTAGCCTATCGTCCCAGCCCTTACCATCTCTAGTTAGAGACAGGGATCTAGACTGGACAAGGGGAGGTGTCAAGACCCCCCGGGGGTCCCTGGAGAGAAGGGAGCACTTTCTTCCCTCCGACGTGTCTGAGCTGTGGGACATATGGAAGTGGGAAGAGGAAGTGGGAGGAGGGAGACTGAGGGAGAGAGGGAGGTGGCTGCAGGAATGTGACCCAGAGAGCAGGTCCTGGCTGAGGGGATTTCCAGAGCGGTT